GGCGGGGTTGCCCTTGGCAGAACTGAGGCGGGGTGGCTTTTTGTTATAGTTGGGTTTTTTTGTTTTTGTGTTTGTATGGTTTTTGTTTGTTTTCCCCTTTTTTTTTTGTAAAGAAGTATTTGATCTTCCCCGCTCTACTCGGCCCTAGCGAGGCCACATCTGGAGTGCTGTGTCGAGATCTGGGCTCCTCAGTACAGGAAAGACGAAGAGCTGCTGGAGAGGGTCCAGCACAAGGCCGTGAAGATGATTAAGGGACTGAAACATCTCTCCTATGAGCAGAGATTGCGGGTGCTGGGCCAGTTTAGTGCAGAGAAGAGAAGGCTGGGAGGGGATGCCATTAAAGCATACAAATATCTTAAAGGCAAATGCCAAGAGATTGGAGCCAGGCTCTTTAATGGTGCCCAGGTACAGGATGGGGAGCAATGGCCATAAACTATAACACAAGAAGTTCCACCTCAGCATGAGGAAGAAGTTTTTCGCGTTGAGGGTGGGAAAGCACTGGAACAGGCTGCACAGGTGGAGTCTCCCGCTCTGGAGACATTCAAAGCCCACCTGGACACGTTCCTGTGTCACCTGCTCTAGGTGACCCTGCCTGGGCAGGGGTGGACTAGGGAATCACCAGAGGTCCCTTCCAACCCTACCAATTCTGTGGTTCTGTAATAAAGAGGTTTTTGACCCTTCTCCTCCCTGGAGGCTAATCCTGTGTGAGTGCCCCTCTGGGGAGTGGGCAGAGCAGGGAAGCAGCCAAACAGCAAATGGGGCTGCCATTTAACCCTGTGTCAGTGACTGGGCTGTGCTTTGTGCTGTAGGGAGTCTGTGGTGAGCAGAACGCTGGGAGCTCTGCTTCATGGCACTGAGGACATTGCCAGCCTCTGGCTGAGATTGACTTTCCAGCAACAGGAATACAGGTTACAGTCTCTCTCCCAAAATAGTATGGCTCCTGTTTCCAAGCTGCAGTGGAATGTTAAGGGGATGCCTTGATGTTGTGCCTGGTGCCAGGATATATTTTCCTTGCTCCTGTCATCAGGCTGGTTTGCCATCACTACTGCAGGGTAGTTCTCCTGCTGAGTTAGAGCTGTGTGCCATCAGCCATCCTTGTTAAAGAGAGGCCGGACACTTTTGTTCACTTTTTTTATAACAGGGGGCCCAGGAAGGCTGATCCCTGCAATTCATTTGGCTTACTTTCTGCCCAAACTATTGAGCCTTTTGGGAAAAGCACCTAAACCAGGCAGGCATCTTTGCACTGAATGCAAACATGAAGGAGGGCTGGGAGCTTGATCCAGTCAAATCTGAGAGGTTATTTTGATTAATTGAAGGGAGGGCAGTGCCTGGTTTGAAGGGCTTTGGTTGTTTATAGGTAATAACCAGGAAAACGTTGGTCTCTTCAGCTGTCACAGAAGTGCTTTAAAAACAACTGCAAGCAAAAGAAGTCACTTCAAAAATGATGGAAAAAAACTAATTAGCATTATTAGGTCTTTAATTGCATTTCCATTTTTAGTTTATAAATTACTTTAAATTTCAGCAGTGTTTTGTGACCTAATTTGTTGTTGAAGTTTTGTTTAGATTTTACGTCCATGACAGTATCTGTGGATGTTGGAAAGATGGTCTTTCTTCTTGGTGACATCAGTGTCACACTAGTGACACTAGTACGTTACATTGGTGACATTAAATAAGTTACTTCAAATTGTATAAAACCACCTTACTGTATTTACAGTTGCGCTAACATCAGGGTGCCTAGTATATTTTTTGTTATGTAGCAGTGAGAAATTTAAATTCTAGTAGTTTAGGTTCATATCTCCAGAAAATAAGTGTGCTGTAGCACATCTACATTGCCTTCTTATAAATTTATCTGCAGTAATGAAAGTATAAGCAGATGGGAAGGGGAAGTGCAGATGCCACCTTGTTTGTCATGGACATGTGGAGGTGGCATGTACCCAAAGTCTGCAGGATTAGAAGAACCTCTTCTCTACTAGGATTACTTTTGAATCTGGGAGGGAAGGTGTGACCCCGTGTGTATCAAATACACACTGAACTAAAAATAGGCAAGGAAATGGTCAGCAAATTTGAGCCTGTAGCTTTCTCTGCAAGGCTTTCTAGCTCAGGGCATGTACGAGGAGCCCAGTATGAGAATGACCCATAACTGCACATTGATGGGGTTTTGTTGTATTTTTTTAAACTTTCTTTGAAGTGGCTGCCCTGGTTTTAAGTCAGTAAATTAGAGCAATGCAGTTATGTCACAGAGTGTGGCTGCAATTGATGAATTTTTAAGCTGTGTTGCTGGACAGTGTGGCAGCCAAAGAACTTAGGTCAGGATGTCTAATAGTCTCAGATCATTCAAGGTTATCTTCAAAGAGCTTTTCCAGTGCCTGTGAAGTTAATGGAAGTTTTTCCATTAACCTTTGTGGCCTGTGTTTCAGGCAACATGACATTAATTATTTATTTTCTGTGAACGAGGGAAATAATATACTTTTCCTGAAACATTCACTTATAGATAGCTAGTGTAGTGTTGAACAGTGCCTGAATTGCATTATTCTGTTTCAAGACTTTTATTTTACAGTCCAGAGAGCAAAGATACTTCATATACTAAACCTTCAGCTGCTTCCTAGTAAACATATACTTTAGTCAGTTGGTATATTTGAGTCACTGGGGGCTGGGGATGAACTCTTTGTAGTTAACTTTCATTTCATTTTCCTGGGTATTAGAAAACAACTTGTTGGTTTGCAAGCTTTAATAGTATGTAACTTTCTCCAAAAAGTGCCAATCAGAATAGAAGATTTGAAGTTAAATTGATTTAACATTTAGCATTCTGTTATGCTAAATTGGGTGAACTGTTACTGAAATACTGCTTTTAAGTTGTGTGTCAGATGTCATTGTAGAATTGCCTGCTAGGCCTCAAGGTGCTTACTCTACACCAGTTTTAGGTGTCTTTGTTGGTAGAGCCCTGCTGGGTTGCTTTCTGAACAGCATTTAACATCTGTGTGTGTAAAAGTATGTGTGTCTTGATCTCTGGCATAGATGACTTCCTTCATCTCACACATTTAGTTGATCCTGAATTTTAGGTCAGGTAAAGATGTAGGTAAGACTTTAAAAAAGAAAAGTGTACACTGGTATTTATTTTCTTTGCTTTCTAACCGTTGTGAGAATGTGCATTTTTTATTCAGGTTAGTGCACAGCTGAATCACAATTCTATGTTCAGTATTTTTTTTTTTCTTATTGCTATGTAATGGGCTGGAATAACCTCACAGAGATTTAACTATGTAGGAATCTGCACATACTTGTTTATTTTTATATATGTATATAATGTATGTTTCACTTCAGGTTTTAAAAGAGGTGCAGATCCTGGAATGCCTGAGCCAACTATCTGGAGGTATGTATTGGTTCCAAATGTACGTACAAACCCAGCGCAGATAGTTACTGGTTTGGGTGTTACCCCTGGCCAGTAACAGTTGTGAATGATGCTTCCATCCCTTGTTTTTTATTTTTGTGGTTCTTGTTTCTTTGGAAATTCACATGACAAGTCAGCAAAGTTCTAGTTCTTGGGAAGATGTTTCTCTTAATCTTGCATAGTTTTTGCTATATGGAACTTCCTGTGTCTTTTGCATGACAGCTGCCCTTCTAATCTGTTGTAGAGCTAGTTTGTGCAAGTTTCTGCACTGAACAATAACTTCTCAGATTTCTAGCACAAATTGAAACCAAAATCCAATCTCCTTCTGCCTTTGCAAATGAGGGAATAACACTGCATAAAAGGTGCATGAAATAAAGGCTGTATCTTTCAGTATTAGTCACTGTCATGAGGCAAAGTGGCTTTGGCTCGTGTTGCCTCTTTCTTGTGGGGCTCTTTGTTATGCTGCAATGTTATGGCATTAGTAATGCTTATGTTCTAGTGACATTTAAGTTTTATTGAAGGGCTTCCACGGGTCTAACTGATTAAAGTTTTGGAGAAAGGGTGGTTCTTCTGTCTTTCAAGAAATGCCTTTGATTACTGTGCAGGACCAGGTATTCCTAAAACAAATAATTGATGTACTGTATTGTTTGCAAAGTCATAGATTAACTCTTTGATTTACATAGTTACAGTGATGGAAATCCCATTTTTAGGATTCAGTGATTCAGTAGAAACAGTAGAAAATATGGGAAAAAAAGTAGTAAGATCATATTATAATTTCAGTGGTATCTACTGTTGTCTTAATAACCAAGTTGCTGCAATTTGCTTGCTGACAGTGTTTCTATGTTTAGCTTCACTGGTGGTTTGAGATTTCTTATTTTGGTGTGCATCTGTACTGTGTAAAAGATGTGGTTTGAGTTTCTATGTTTAGGTGGTTTGAGATTTCTTATTTTGGTGTGCATCTGTACTGTGTAAAAGATGTGTTTTGTACCAGAATATATGTACGTAGATACTATGAACAGATGTTTCGTCTAATCTGAGGCTTACAGATGCTCATTTTTGTGAGCACATGTTGGTGCTCTGCGTCCTTAAATTTTACTTTAAAGGTGGCATTATTGTAATATTTTGGGGGCTAGTGTTTCTTTAATGTACATTTCTAGGGCTGTTCCTCCAGGCTTGTGTTTTACAAATATCGATTTAAAGACAAGTACCTGCTGCAAATCTGACTTTGATTTCCTCCCCCCTCCCCTTTCAGTCTACTTTGGGGATGAAGGCTGTGGTGGTCCTGTTGTAGAGGCAGCCGATGGACAGACAGAGTGTCAGAAGATGCGTACATTCCAGAGGATGAGGCCGACACTTAGACCAGCTGGCTCAATCAGCTTGCTAATGCCATAGGTTGTACATACAACAAAATGAAGTTTATATGGACCTAACTTATTTGCATTACGGTGTACTTAAATAAATACTGTTTGAATGGATGCATATTGTTTTTAAGTCTTTGCATAATATAATGTAGTGGTTTATTTATTACAGAAAGCCGTGGTGGGGGTTTTGTTTTGTTGCGTTTTTTTCCAGAATATGATGATATTTAACTCCCATACTTATCCGTGTTAACAATTGCCTTTTTGGGTAAAGATTCCTCTTTTATCTTCACAGTAACCAGAAAATCAAGCTAATGTTTTAAATACTTCAGTATTCCTCAAAAATTCCTTGCCCAAATGTTGGTAAGCCGCTGTGGATGGTTACTGTGCTGATCCACTTCAGGTTTTTTATCTTCTGGATTCTTTTATCTGTGGATACAGTAAGGATTGAGGGATGTGTATGTTTGTGTTTTCTAGCACAGTCAGATACTAAAAAAGGATACTTTCCTGCTGAACTTGCCTTTAAATGATCCCTGTGTTTTCTGGGATTTAGGATGGGGTGGGAGGACACAACAGTTGAGTGCTCTGTGTGTATGTGTATAATTTGCTCTTACTGTAAGAGAAAGTTACAACTGTATAACTGAAGGAAGAAAACAAGTACACTAAACAAGGTATGTGCTTCATTGTTATGCTGAAGTCTTGCTCTTTGGACCATGGTTCTTTTGGTTTCGATTGGTTTTCTCCCTTTAACACCGAAGTTCAAGCGCTTAAAATGGTGACTGGTTTCTGTTAAATAGAAGCTGTTTTGGGTAGATTGCTCTCCCTTCCAGAACTGTGCAGGGTAGTTTGTGTCTGTGCAGTGGTTTTTTAAAAAAACTGTGTTTATTGGCCCCAAATTATCACTGCAACAAAGGTATTCTAGATTTTGGCATGGCTTTTTTTTTAACTCCACAGATTTTTCAGGCTTTTTTTACATTGATTAAATGTTTAAGAATAAGAGATTCCTCTGTTTTTAATGTGCCACGGCAATTCATGGTAAAATCTTACTGTGTTCAAGGGCTCTGATTGGAGAATCAGAGAGAAATGAACCAAGGGAAAACACTTAAAATTAAGGACAAGAATTGGAAAGAAAAAATGAAAATGTTTATGAGAGCTAATGCAAATGAGGATGTTCTTTAAAATTCCATTAATCATGAAAACTCAGTCAGATGTCATGGAATACTGGCATGGCTAATGCTGATAGACTGCTGACAGTGGAGCAGTGCAAGGGCTGAATGCAGAACAGTGTCTTGTGACCATGTATCCTTTTGCTAGTGCAGCTTTTCTAGTGCCTTTTCTCTTACAGTAACTTGAGACTAATGTAACTGCTCACAGTCTTATATTATGAAAGAAATTAAATTTTTGATTATTTTTATTGACTGATCCTAATGGTAATAGTAATGAAATAATCTGTTGGTAGTGGCTTTAATAGTGATTAGGAACATTTTTCTTCTGTTGAATTTTGTGCAGTACCTGAGATACTCAAATACTAAGAGATACAGTATTCAGTGTGAAGTAACTCGTATTTCTCAATCAGATTTTACATTTCACATGGGTGTACAATACCCAAAATGCAGCAGTGGGTGGATGGACCCAAACACCTGCAGAAGTGTTTTTCATGTGCCCTGTTGTATGTCTGAGATTTGGGGATGTGGTTTGTGGGTGGTAACCGCCACATGGTTGCTCTGGCTGCTTTCCAAGAATTATAGTATTTGGCAAGAGGTAGAGAAATAGGGAAGTGTTTCCTCTTTCATTCAAAGTTTTACAAAAGCAGGCATATGTCAAGCACAGGCCAGATTCTGTGACGTCTCTCTGTGATGCTGAAAGTTTTTCTTAAAAATAGTTGCATTTGAGATTTTTTGCGACTTGGAATTACTGGATAAATATTGCATATGAAATATTTACTTTTAGCACATTGGATGGGAAATTTTTGGTAATTCACTGCTACTGAAGTATGTTTCAGGAAAGTTATTAGCATGGAAATCTTGGGTTTTCAGATTGAGGGGGGGAAAAGGTCTTTTATAGTACCTTCAAGTCAAGTTAAATTGAATGTCAGTATGCTGTATAATGTTTTTTGTTTATGTGTCCGGACTTTCATTCCAAATAGTGTTCTTAGTGAAATTAAAAGGTGAGTGAAACTTCTCCTTAAATGAACATTTCTATTCTTCCCTGGTGGAAAAAAAAAAAAAAAAAAGAAAAGAATAAGTATTAATCATTAAATCTTGGTGATTAATTGTAAGGTAGCAAAAAAAAAAAACCCTCCAATTTTCTTCAAGTTTGAAAGTGAAGAAATCTTTGGTATGGATGTTGTGAAGTTACTTTGCAGTTTTTGTCATTTTCACAAAATTTGGTTGTGTTTTTAAGAGCAGATTAGTGGTTTGGAAAGTTATACATTAAAGAGATTCCTGTGAAGAAGATTAATTTCCTTAAGGAAGGTCAGGAAGTATGCTCATTTCAGCAGTACTGGAGTTTTTTTTGGTGGTGCTAGGAGAAGAGGGCAGGTCTAAGGAGTGGGGTGAAAGAACTCTCATGTTGGTCAAGGCTGGGGACTGTAATTAGGTGTTATTAATTTCAAGTGTTCTAACCTATGATTTTTTCCTTTCTGTTTTTCTCAGTAGAACTTGAGAAAATTTTATTTTACTGTCACATGGGTGACAGAAAAGGGCAAATATGAGTTTTCCTGCTTGACTCTATTGATCTGTCACTGCATCAGTGCCGTCTGCAGCCAGGTGCAGATTATTTTCTGTGATGGGGTTTGTGGTGGAGTGAACTCTTAGTGTTGGAATAAAGCCAGTGAGCATAGTTTACTGAAAAATGGGCTCTGGCTCCCACTTGAGTTGAGCTCAAGGCTACAGTTTAGATGTGTGAAATAAAATCATTGATGCCTTCCTGAGTTTGGTGGAGATTGTACTGACTTTGAGGTATCCTGTTGATCGTAGCCCGGTGATAGGGATTGTTTGGCTTTTTACTTTGTGCCTTCAAAGTGGAGGGATGTGGAGTGTGCTTGTGGTTGCCTCAGTGTTAGGGAAATGCCCCCTGTCACTGGAGCCTGTTGGACCTGGTGCCAAGCAGTTGTGCAAGGGACAGAGAGGGAGGCTTGTGAGTTTGGTGGTTTTCTTGGTCTTGGTGTATGGACTGTGGGTCTCCTGCTTAGAGGGTAGAAAAAGGATGGTCAGTTTTGTGTCATCACTAAAGGCAAAAAAAAAATTGCTTTCAGTATAATTTTGTTCTTAATAATTTAATCTACAAAGAAACCTATATGTGTGCTCCATAAACTTTTCAAGGCCTGGCCAGCTGTGAGGTAAAATTAAGGTGATTGGGAATTTGTAATGGGTTTTTAATTTTGCTACAAATTCCTGGTGTAGAGACAACTGGTACAAAGTAACTGTGCTGTATCTCATAGATGTAAAACAAAGGCTGTGTGGGTTTTCTTTCCTTGAATGAATTCATCAACAAGGCTCCTATTAGCTGAACTATAACATTTAAACACACTCAGTCTTGCAGACTGAATCAATGTTCAGAATTTTGTCACAACAGGTCAGTTTTGGTGAAGTATAAAACTTGTCTTTTGCTGCTTTGTACGGCTGTCTTCCGAAATGGCTGTAGGTGACAAAGAGCTGCTTAAGATCTCATCTTCTTGCATTGTGTGGTAAATGAAGCACACATCTAACATAATGGTTTTTATCAGGAGGATTGCTAAATCAAACTGTATATACCCTGGACGTTTTTGGAAATATTTTCTTACAGTGTTGGAATTTAAGCTATGATGATACTGATGATATTTGGAAATTAGAACTCATTACATCTGTTTTCACCACAGGAGGAGAGACCACATCCTGTTAAATGTCATATGACTTATTTATTTTTTACAAATAACGACTTAATTGCAATTTCTAAATACTTTTCCATGATGGTGTGTGATGCAATAGCCATTTCTTGGTTAATCTTGTGGGTTACATACATTGTTTCTTGGTTGTGGTTGTGTTAATTCAGGATTAGAGGATGGGTTAGCTGGAGGGAATGTTTGTCTGCTGTGTGCAAAAGAATATGGCAGGGCAAATCAAATCTCAGTGTTTTGATTCTGATGGTGAATGTATGTTTGTTTGTTTTAAACATTTTCTCAGGAATGATTTTCTCAGGAAGGAGTGAATCTTAAGATTCTGGTCACTGAATAGAAATCCAGATTGCAAAATTTCTGTCGAGTGTTTTCTGATGACTGCCAAAGTCAGTCATGAACATATAGGAGAATTTGGTTCAATATGTTTAATTACAGAAATTGGTTGATTTTGCTAGTAATTTGTGAAGGTGGTACTTCAAGGTTGAAGCCTGCAGAGGTTGCATTTTTTGGGAGTAAGGAGGTATGTAGGTTTTGGTTTTCCCCTTATCAATAAGAGGAAAGCAGTTCATTGAGAGAGATCTGAAATTATCTAATCATTTGACTTGAAAAGCAAGGACTTAGTCACAAGGCTTCTAGTTATATATATGCTTTTTTTTTTTTGCCAATACCGTGACCATGAGGACTTTGATGTATACTACTGCATACTTATATTTCCATCATTTTTTCTTTGAAATTGAAATTGGAAAATATTATTAGTTACAAATAACAATGGCAAACATAGGGGAAGTTTCCCATCAAGCTAAGCTGACCTATTGGCTCCATACTGCTGAAAAGTAATGCTGTTGCCACGCTTTACTGGTGGTGTAACTCTTCCATCTCTTGTTGCATCAGCTGTTGATAAAATCTGTGGAGGCTCTAGAGATGCATGCAGTCTCATTCAAGTAGTTGTTCTTTCTGCCAAACTTTAGTGTTTACACCAGTACTGGGTAGGGAATGGTACTGCAACCTGGGAAATTGGTCAGATCGAAATGTTTTCCACCTTTTTTTTTCCTTTGGAGTTTCTTACACAGTAAAGTATGGTTAAAAAATAGAAAAATGGTATTTCAGAGACTATCCCTTATGCCCACTCCTCCACTTATCTATTACAGATTACTTTAATATTAGGTTGAATTCTGTCTTTTTGGTTTTTTGGGGGTTGTTTTGGGTTTTTTTCTCTCTTGTCCAGCATTCTGGTGTTACAGCAGTTGCTCTTGGGGATATTTTGTTTCTCATCTTAAACATTGAATACTGTGGGCTGAATACTGTGGGCTTTTCTTGCATACTGTATAATGTATGCATGCTTTTCAACATAGCTTTACCTTTTTCCTTCTTTGGGAATTTAAAATCAGGATGAAGGGAGCTGGTAATCTGTGAAGCATTCCAGAATCTCAGTGTGAAGTTAACAACTAAGGATGAATGGAGAAAAGCTAGCTAGGATGTGCAGGGCAGGGCTGGTCCTGTACAGCAGCAGCCAAAATGCTGCTTTAGTGGGTAATTTTGTATTTTTTTAGGTCATTATTAGGTCTTTTTTTATTTGGGTTGTATTAGTGGGGGGTTTTTTGTTGTTTTGGTTTTTTTGAGTTTTCTTTGCTCAGTGAGTTGGCTGTCAGATAGGAAGAGCTCTCTTCAATAGAAGTGTTGAGGCATTTTTACTGAGTGTAGTTAGGACTGTTCACTTTTTACTGTTGTTCTAGGTTTTTTATGTGTTCGTGCTGGTCTGCCAACTAAAATAAATGCCTTTGTGTGTTTTACTAATGTAAAATAGTCTACACAGCAAATTAGAAAAAGAATGATAAGTTGGTTCATTTGAGAGGCCCTGTAACATGCTCAGCAGTGTTTAGGTCTTCTCTGATTTCATCTCAATTCCCTACTGCAAATATTTGTGTGTCAGAAGCATCAGTGAGTGTTGGTTTCAGCAAGTGGTGCTGATCCTGGGAGCAGTCCCTGAAGTTGCCACTGTGACAGGAGACTGATGGCCAGCAAGGCAGCTGCTGCACTGAAGGACCCTCAGAACTGTGGAGGAGCCACAAATGAAGTAATGGCAGCTCAGTGACACCATCAGGGATAGCACTTTCCTTCAGGAAGGACTTGACAGTTGACCTCCCCACCCAACAAGGGGTAATCTTTGCTCATCCTCTGCACCCTAAAATGTGGCAGCATTTATGTATTTACTAGCACAGACAGACTGGGGTAGCCATTAGCTGAAGGGTGCAGATGGAAGTGTCAGTGCTTGTCTGTCAGTTGTTGCAAGGGATTTCAGCACTCCAATTCTTACATGATTTTTAGTGTTTCAGGAGATCAGTGTGAGTTTGTTTAGATGCAGTGTACATAGTAACTAATGGTGATCTCAGGCACCCCTCTCTACTGGGAGAAGTGAAACCAGGAGATGCCTTTCCTTTTGGTCAGCTTTTTTTTTTTTTCCTTTTTTTTTTTCGTCCCTCTCTGTTCTCACATAGTAGCTAGGTCCACTTTGGTCTTATAGCTGTTATTGGTATCATAAAGGCTGGAAGGGTCTCTAAACAAATGGTCGCTAAAAGAAAATTCCTGTGAAGGTAAGCAGTGAAAAGGCCAAGCCAGGCTTTCCTATGTTTCCTGAGCGTGTGCCAGGACAGTTAAAGTAGGATCTTACATGCTGTTAGAAAACCCATTCACCACAGACATCTTTCAAGATCTCCTTGAGATCTCCTCATTCCTTCTCCAGATGTTGCTCAACTTGAGATGACAATTTTACCATATTGGGCAAAGCTGTGGTTTGTTTTGTTTTGAGCATCTGAGATGAGAGCAGTGGGTGGACTGGTCACTGTTTTGGCATCCCCAGTGGTGGAATGCATATGTGGACAATCAGATCACTCAGAGGAAGAGGAGAGTTTGCTGACATCCTTATCCACATTCCAAGGCATGCCTTTCATCTGCGCATCTTCACCACTGTGCCAGAAGGAAAAGTGAGGGTAATTAATAATGTACCATTTTTAGGGACAAAGCTCGAGGGACTTGTGCTGCCTGCATCCCCTGTGTGGTCTGTGAATTCATCTGAGTTTGGGTATATGAGGTACCTGCACAGCTACAGTGCTGCAGATGATGCAGCCAAGGAAAGTTTCAGTAGTTTGGTACTGAGGCTTAATTCCTCTTCTGTTTTGGTTTTTTCTTTTTTTTCACACAAATATTCAAGAAAATGCATTCATGGTATGTGGCTTGTCCATACTAGTGAAATATAAATTATAAAAGACATGCATGTTGCTGCATTGCTCAGCAGCAATATGTTGATTTATATATTGCTTAAGGAAATAACCTAAATTTCTTTTTTTCTATTTCTTGCGGTAGGGGCCAGAACTGTTTAACCAAACTTGGAAAATTCCCCAGGATGACAGCAATAAAACTAATCAGAGGATAGTATTCATGTCAAAGTGGTTAATGTGGTTGTCTCACCACTTTATTTATTTAAGAGACTATTTGACTTGTAAGAAGATACTTAAAATTTTATTGGGTGTTCCTTATTAAATATAAGGCACTTCTCCATTTGTTTCTCAGGAGCATTGATGGATTATCTTGTTCATTCTTAAGTGCCCTTTTAAGTGCATCTGGTTCCTTTATATCCCATTTTAAGAATTATACAGTAATCAAGTTGTCTACTTGTATACATATGTGCTATGTAGAGAACTGGCCTAATTATACAGAGAAGTTCTTGAAAGTGGTCATTCTGATAATTGCAGGTATTAAAAACTGGATATATTAGAGTGCTTTAGTCTTATTTAAAGTTCACAGGGTTTATACAAGCTTTTTTTAAAAATCAGCTTTTATTTGTCTTAAAAATATAAAAAAGTAATAAATACCATCTCTCAAATATATAAAAACATAAGTTATACAAAAATTTTTCTGGGTTCTGAAAAATTTTTTTTGAATACATATTAAATAAGTTTATATCTGAATAGTACCAGTAGAAAGGAAATAAAATACATAATTTGTTTAAATTATTTCTAAACATTGACAATATAAATAAGAAATATTAAAAACTAATAAATATCTTAAATACAATAAATAAGTTCTTAGAAGGAAATGGGAATGTATGTAGATGCAAACCATTGTTACTATTTCTAGTTCTTAAAACAGAACAACACTGTTATCTGCCACCTGACAGATTTGTAACAAAAGGACTGTGCCTGAACTAAAACATTCAAACACTGAAACTCCTGGTGTTTTTCAAATAGCGCACGGCCCTCACTGTCTTCTCCATAAATGAAGTAAAATCTCGGAGGATGAGTTGGATGGTGATTTTCTCTGTCCAGGCCTTAGTGGACTTCAGCTTTGTGTGGAGGGATTCCTGGGTAGCTGCATCTGGGATGATCACTTCTTCGGGATTGATCACCTGTGGGGAAGACAATATTGGGGGCCTTGGTTAAAGCGCTGTCACTGAGCCTGTTGGAGAGCATCCATCCGTTTGTATTTTCCCATCCATCCGTTTGTATTTTCCCAACCTGCTGCTTCTCCACTCTCTGTACTGCAGACACCAGCCCTCCCTGGGACCCGTGCTTTCCTCCAGCCCTGTTTCTGTGGAGAGGTGTGAGGAATGCTGTTGCCTGCTATGACTGCTGCATGGGAATCTGGGCTATAGTGTTATGGTTTGAGTGCAGCCTCTGGCATGGTGATCCAGCAGGCTCTGAGCAGATCAACACACCCCTCCTGCTCTTTGGCAGTCACATGGTTGGTTAGGTAGGGGGATGCTGATCAGGTCTTAACCTGCACTGCTCTGTTGTGAGTCATAAATTAATTGGCTGATATTGGAGTATTCTCACATTCTGTAACAGATTAACAAGTTTCAAAAGATGTCTAACTCAGTTAGCTGCTTAATTCTTACTTTCCAGGCATTTAGTCACATGTGAGACTAAGTGCCACCACTTTCACTGATGTGTGAGAGCATAACTACAAGATGAGTAAGAGTTATTTATCTAATGAGTTATTTATCTAATACTGACTCACAGCACTGTGCACCCACTACCTAAAGGCCTTTGAAGAACTTGTCCCAAGAAGTGGGACTTCTGAAAATGGAACTTAGATACCCAAATCATGGAGCTGTTTTAGGTGATTTGGAGTCCAAAGTTCTAGCAAGTATCTGCCTAATCCTGTGTTCAGGATCCCTACTACCCTTTAACAAGTGGAAAAAGGATGCAAACCTCCTTCTGGAACATCTTTTTTGTGAGATATAAGGGAGAAATATTCTTCCTATTCAGACTACTTGAGAGTGTGTTCTGATCACATCTGCTTTTCCTGGTATGCCCAGCTCCTTGTGCTCTGTTAAAGTTTGTATCTGGATATCCAGACATGGTGTCATGCTGGTGAATCTATTTAACCACAAGTGGTAGATTCTGGCCTTGCTGTCCTTGCCTTAAAAATAGCAGATTTTTCTCTCACAAAGAAAAATTTACATAGTGAAGATCAAGGCCTTTTCTCAAAAACTCCACAGTTTCTACAAGTGCAGGTTTTGCTTTTGATCACGGTTTTTAATTCTGCCTGTCGCTTTTCCTGGTATGCCCAGCTCCTTGTTATGCTCTGTTGAAGTTTGTATCTGGATATCCAGACATGGTGTCATGCTGGTGGATCTATTTAACCACAAGTGATGGATTCTGGCTTTGCTGTGCTTGCCTTAAATAGCAGATTTTTCTCTCACAAAGAAAAATTTACATAGTGAAGATCAAGGCCTTTTCTCAAAAACTCCACAGTTTCTACAAGTGCAGGTTTTGCTTTTGATCACTGTGTTTAATTCTGCTTGTTTTGATTATCTTGGTCCAAAAAAAAAAAAATCCAAAGCCCTAAACCCAACAAACCTAGTCTCTCTCAGTTATGAAACAAACTTTCTGCAAACTCATGTATCAAGCTGGAAGCCAGTAATCAGTTGCTGTCTTATGACAGGACTATTATTACTATTATTCTCAGTGTGAAAAAAAGCAGTTCAGCTTCCTTTCACATAAAGAATGATGGGCATAAGTAAATATGTTAGGAAAGGTATGGCAAACACACAATACACAATAGGCTTTTCACATGCCAAAAATTGCCTGGGAGGAAATAATGCCCCAAGACTTCTGCAGTCCTTTACCTTAATCAGGCAAATGCTATCCCCAAAGACAAAAGGAAGTGTTCATATTAAGAATTATTAAAATGAGCAAGAACTACAGGAATTAAGTAGAATTTTAAGGTGTGATCTTTCAGAGCTCTCCAAAACATGAAAAATGTCTGTCAGAAATTAATAGCATTTTAGTTTACCAAATCAAGAGAGAAATTGGTATTTTTATGAAAGAAGATTTTTTTGCAAGCAAAATATGTGTTTTTCAGTAGGGAGCTATCTGGTATATTGACAGCAATATCTCAATATACCATACAGCTTGGCTTTATAGTTTGGTTTGGAGAGTTTTAAAAATGAATAATATTGTAAAAATACACTTGGCTTTTTCTTTTCTTTTTTTTTTTTTTCATGTGGGCTTGAAAAAAAAGTTGCTGACTTCTACTTCTCAGTGGGTTCCAACATTAGTACAGGCTGAATTGCAGTTCTGCAATTATAAGCAAGCTGAGAAATCTTACTTCTATCAACCAGTTTCATATATTTGTTCTTAACAATGACGCATTTATGTGGCTTGGAAATTATAACCAATAGTAGAAATTAGGAAGAAGAGTTGTTTAAGAAAAGAAAGCAAAACTTTGTAAGACCTCTAAGTCATAAGGGTAAGATCTGAGCATAAGGAACTGTTACCTGTTTTTTCAAGGAACTGAAACATAGCATCCTCTATTTCACATAGCATCTTCTATTTCTGACTTCACATCAGCATTAAGCCACAAAAATCATCAGAGGAAATTTAAAACCAACTCACCATCTGTCTTATGGTACGTGCCAGGTGCTCTGTACTATAGGATAGCGATTCAACGTTTTGGTTTTCACTAATAAAAGTTTCTTGTATGTATTTGAGGTATGTCTGAAATGTATAAAGTCCACTGGAGATTTTTGTCAAGCATTTATCCTGAAATGAGAGAAAGGTGAGAAAGTCACTTAAGAGTTCAAAGTGCCTTGATCTCAATGCTGTGTGCAGGTTAGCAGATGATGCTCTTATAGTGTGGAGATCTGGCCAAAGCCGGCTAGAGCCGGTACAAATCTTTAGGTCAACTTCCCCAGTTCTTTTGAGCAGGCAAAACCTGCCCCGGGAATACAGGATTAGATGGGGAAGGAGAGCTGTTCCTTGCCTCATTAAAGCCGGCGAGCAGACACCCATCTTCCTCCGTCACCTTGGGGAGGTTGAGGTTGTTGTGGAGGAGCATTTCCATGCTATTCTGGCAGACGGTAAACTTCTCGCACATCTGGGGAGAGACACGGAGAGATTGGGTCGCACCTTGTGGGGCGGCAGCCGCGGCGGGGCCGGGCGTGTTCGCGGGGCGGCCGTACCCACCTCGTGCTGCAGCTGTGCCGCCCGCTCGAGCAGCAGCCGCGCCAGCCGCAGGCTGTCGGGCAGCGCCGCGGAGGGCGGGCGGCCGGCGGCGGCCGGCGCGGGCACGGTCGCAGCCACAGTCCCGGGGAAACTTCATGGTGCGGCTTGTTCTCGGCTCCGGCCCTGGCCCCTTCTCGTCGGCGAGGCTGGCGGGTTGAATGAGCTCCGGGCATCCCTGAACGTGTATTTATTGAGGGGGCTTCGAGATTATTCATGGCTTTGGGAAAATCCGGCATGAGAACACGGGGGGTGTGTGCTCTCGGAGCGTGCCCGGCTTGACAGGGCTGCTCGAGAGCCTGGATTGTGAAACGGGCCGGGGGGGGCAGCCGAAAGCGGCCGGTGGGAACATGAAGTAATCGTGCTCCGTAACTCCTTGAGGGCCGGGCTGCCCGCGCCGCTCCGCCGGCTCACCTGCCCCGCGGGGTCCCGGCCGGGCTGGAGCCCCCCGGTCCGGCTTTCCTCGGAGCCTGCCAGCTCCAGCCGCACAAAAACTCCTGGAAATTATACACGCATACCTGCCTATACACACACATACTTTATGTATGCGATACACTTCCGTGTATTTTAATATTTTAACGTGGTTTAATGTTTTATGGATTTCGTATGGTGTATGTTTATCTCTGTATTTTAGCCATTTTTATTATTTGTATATGTGAAACTAAACGCCCCGGTTTAGGTGCTGGGTAGTGCAAGTCGCAAGTTGCCTCTTTCTGAGTGAGCTACTTGTGGGTAGGATTTAATACATCAAATGTTTTAAATGGACCAAAGCCAGCTCCTACGGGAGGGTGGCTGCAGGAAATGCCACGAAGTTCCCTGTTATCTGCTGCCTTATCTCTGCCTACCTGGTAGCTGTTGCAGGAATTTTAACCTTTCAGAGGGACTCTTCACCCAGGGCAAGTGTGCCTGTTGGGATCAATCTTGTAGAATGCAGGCTGAGTCAAACTGTTTAAGGCGCGCAGACATTGAACTTGTGGAATGTCTTGAACTGATTAACTTTTTTTTTTTTTTGGTGTATGTTTTCTCACATAAGGAAGACCAGAGTCTGCATTGGGAACTCCTAACAGGAGAGTACAGTGTTGAGAGAACAGAACATGTGACATAAGAGAGGTGTTAGAGACAATACAGAAACTGAAAATGCCCCAGATACTTCATTTTCTAAGCACAGCCCGAAAATAGAGCCTCAGGAAAGAAGCAGAGTACTACTGTTTTTTATTTAATGTCTCTTTCTGTCAGTAGCAGAAAAGCCGCTGCAGTAATTTTGCCCAGTGGAGAGATATTAGAGCTGGAATGCAAGTGTGAGAGAGCAGTTTTCAACAGCAGCAATCCATCTCTGTCCAGGTCCCTGAGTGCAGCAGGGGAGATATTGCCAGAACAGTATTTGCTGTAATGTCAGGTCTGTGGCATTAGGCATAGAAGAAAGCATGCCACTAGCAGTACATTTGACTATTATCAATTAAAAGATCCAACTGAAATGTGCTAAAGGATTAAAACAGCCAGGCCAGATGAGCTCAAAGCCTGGAATTTGCTTTTGGATAACCATCAGAGGCAGATACATCAGGGAGGGAACTCCTGCCTACCTCTTTTTCCACTTGCGATAGCACATAGATGTACGTCTCAGGGATTTCCTTCCGCTGCCAGGCGACTCATAGGCTGTTCCCTGCAGACAGTCAAACTTTTCCTTTACCTAACCTAAGTGAAAATACTATTCTTAAAAAGATGAAAACGTGGTAGAAGGCTGTGTTTCCTTAACAATATCTTTTCAGCAAGCATTCTGTAATTTAGTCTTCTCTGTAGCTCTGTAATTCTTAATTTTGTAAACTTATTTTATGAATTTCTCATTGTATTGTGAAAGTCTCTATTCCTTAGAAATTTTTAGAGAGCATTTTTGTGCTGGTCACTGTTATAAAGTCTTGCTGATGTGTGTAGTTGCATCTGCAGAGTGAAATAAAAGCAAGTTTCAGCTGTTCCTCATCTAAAAGTCTCTAAGCCTTCAGTTACTGTTTTTTCATTTTGGAGTTTTGTTTACTTTTTTATATGAATGTCCATGTGACTTTTCAGAAGTACAAAGTATACTTACATGCTCCAGTGAAAGGTGCTCATTAATGCCTTAGGAACTCCATTTGATACTCTAGGACAAAGCATAGCATTCAAAGGAAGAAGGAACTGGAATTTGTACAATAACGTTAGAATACTTCTATTGCTTTGGACAGTTTCTTATGGAAAATCACTTATTTAATTGGTACTGTACATAGAAGAAATACTTTTGCTCTGATCTATCTGTAATAATGGTTAAATTTTGGGGAGGGTTTAAAGAAGATCCACACTGTATTACTAATTAGTTGGCACAGTACTACACTGAATTGCACTGATTCATCAGTAGTCACATTGTTGAAAATTTAATAAGCCTTGAAAAAACAGCACTTGCTCATGAGTTACCTACATATCAGGAGATTCTGGTACTTAAAATGTAGGAGTATTATAACTGAGACTCTGAGGCATAGTTTCTAGGTGCCAAGGAATTTCTTTCCTGCATAGCATCTTTGTAATACTGTAGATTACTGTTCTTGCATCCTTTATTTTCTATTGCACTTCATTTCACTGTACAATTTTTTTCTTTTTCTTTTCATTTATACTGTCAACAAGATGGCTGCATCCTTAGGAAGTATGTAAAATATACTTTTACATACTCCTTAGGAAGTATGTAAAAACTTCCTAAGGTAGGATTTCAGAAATTCTCAGAGTTTAACCAACTTTTTCTTCTGTCTGAGAAATGAGCACTATTCATATTGTTACTACTTCACTATTTACATTGTTACTACTACTGCACATTTCTGTAGGAGCGGAGAGACCATTGCTGAATGTTGTAAAAAAATCTTTCCTCTTCGATTGTCACACATGAAAATTGTTCCAGGTTCCAGTAAAGTTACAGCAAATCAAGGATCGTCCCATGTGTGTTTTCTGGGATCAGTGTGCAACTCACTGACCCATTCTGGAAGAGGTTATTTTTCTTCTAGAATTGCTCTGCCTGGGAGCAAGTCTGTGCCACTTTTGCTATTGACAACCTGGGAGATTTGGAGAGAGAAGCCTGTTTTCAGGAGAGGTGGGTGACACCAACGTAGAAGTGCTATTGCCACTGAAGAATTCAACAAACTGCAGAGCTGTTGTGGTCAAAGCTTGTGTCAGCCATCAGGCAGTTGTCTATAAGGAGCCCCACCATGTGCAGGGACAAAACCCAGTGCCATTGGCAGCAGCAGGAGACTTTGCTTGCTGAGTGTTGTGAGTCAAACATAACTGGCATTCCTACATGGAAAAATAAGGTCTTTCAATGAAGCAGAGTTACTAGGGTTGCAGGAAGTTCCACTCTGATCTGTGTGTTTGGTTTGACTGTCTTTGTCTTTCTAATAATCTCCACTATTTTACAGTAGTAAGAAAACCAGTAATGTTTATTTGGGAATTATGACTTAAAATAGTACTGTTGGTAGTAAGAAAAGAAATACAACTGGAAAATGTGGTGTTCTTCTATAGAAGTGTTAGATTGTGTGTGGAAGAAAATGCCAATTGTCAGAACTGGGATCATGACAATCACTAAGCAAATAACTTCCAAATATTTTGAATGAAGAGGAAAGCTGATGTCTGATTTCCCTGACATATTTTTGGTCAAATTCCTCAAAGCTTGTAACAAGGGAACTCGAATTCCTACAGATCTTGTAAAGAGTGCTTTGTAATGTCAAACCAAGCTGCCCTGTGCTGTATTTGAAGTGAACAGGTTGAGCAGGTCAGTAATACCCTGTGTTCATGTTTCTCATAAGCAAACATTGCTTTGACAAGCTGCATGTCACCAAAGAGCGCTGGTGCACTTGACTAACGGCCGTCGCTTTTGTGGTTTGGCAAGTTCTTTCCTTCTCTGTTGGTTTTTTGCCAAGTAACTTCAAAGTTTTTTGGGGATTTTTTGGTGAAAAGCTTTGGGGATTGCTCATTTTTCTTTCCTAAAGGAAAACTTGCATCATTCTAAAAAAGGCTAAGATGTGTAGTAACGCTTGATTTTTTTTTTCTTGAGTGCATCATATGCAAGTACCATGAATTTCTTTGCCTTAAGCTAGATCAGAGATTTAGAGGAAAAATTTTTACTTACCTTTAAATTATGTCCTGGTTTTCAGCGGCTTTATCTGCTTAATTTCAAGAAGATAAATAATGCTATGGTCTTCTCTAGCCAACTTCCAGCCATGCAGTCCTAGGTGAAAGAGGTCCTAAATATAATGGTTCTTGGGAAATATCTGAATGCTGCAAGGCACATCTAATGCTATGTGTCCTTCAAGTCAAAATGATTGCAGGCATTTTAATTGTGGAATGGGAATGTTGTTGCACCTGACAGTGAAACTAGATTTCCACTAGGAGCACTTTGCTGCTGTGGCTGCGCTGTTAAATGGCATCAGGAAGCAATTTGATGAACTTTTCTCATGGAAGGAAAGCAGCTGTTGCTTTCTGTCCATCACAGCACAGTGTGCTTGGTGAGGTGTATGGTGCCCCTTTTAGGGCTGCTTAAGACACCAGAACAGAGAGCTGGTCAAGTTAGAAATACTGATGGCCTTGGGTCTTTCACAAGCAGTATGCTGTTATCTGGCTTGTTTTGTGAGCATCACCCATGTGGACAACACACTGTTTTGAAGGGATCCCATTTTGTCAGCGTTGTGTTTTGAATTATTATAGGACTGTACTTCTAAAAGAAATCTCTGTCTGTTTTTAAAAATTAATTGACTGTAAGTTCCACTTGTGTTTAAGGAACTTCTCACTTCCCCTTGAGCTTGCTTTCTAAGCATGAAAGATGAAAATTCAAAGAAGTTATATGATAAAGAAGAGTGAGGTATTTCTGTCACCAGAAAAGATGACAGAGCTGAAAAGAGAACACTGAGGAGCCTGAGTGTATGGGAGGTACTGAATGGTGTAAGTATTTATCTTTATTGTTTGCCATTTTTAACATGGTACATTAGATGTAGATTGTGTTTTACAAAGCATTCAAAAGGGGG